TGAGAAAGCTGATGTGAATCTGAAATTCGTTCCTTAGGAGGTGATGTGTTGATTCCTTTTCCTCTTTAAATATTTAAGTATTCTATCTTCATCAGTTATGAAATTGTGCTGTGACCTGTGTGAAGCTCCATCTGTTTTCCTTCATCTTTTGAGGGCAAGTGAGTCTCTTTAAGCTCTGGAAAACTCATCAATGCTTTGAATGTTTCTGCCTTTGTCTCTGCAATTCCTTTCTCAGGAATACACAGTCAACCATGACTGGAACTTCTGGATCAATGCCTCATTCTTTTATTTATTTTCTTTAAGCTTTTCATTTCTCTGACCTTTTGTGCTACACTCCAGGAGGATTCTTCACATCAAAATTTCCACTCACTAATCTGCACTTTATACCTGCATTCTGCTATTCATCCCATCTACTGGGTTTTAATTTTGACAAGGATTATTCCTTTCTGAGATCCATAAATGGCTTTTTAATAAAGGCTTGTTCTTTTGTATCTAAGATGTCTTCCTCCACCCAATGAGGATATTAATTTCTCAAGTCTTTCCCTTGGTTATCAGGTTTCTGCTTGCGGAGTTTAAGAATGCTTTTTCATGCTATTGGTTTCCTCCAAAGCTTGGTGGTTCTTGTTTGGGTGCTCATCTTTGGTTTTAGATTTCCCATTAGCCTATTGAGTGCCACATCCCTGACTCCACGGATTGCAGGGGAGCGGGGGGGGACAACACTTGGATAATATCGGGGTGAGTTTATGATTCTGTGCTGAGAAAGATTCTTCTGCAGGAAGTTGAGGCTGTGGCTCCACTCTCTCTTTGCAATCAGTGTTGCTGCTGAGAAAGCTGAAGTCACCCTGACTTACTCCTTGGTGGGTAAGCCATTGGTTTTATTTCCTGTTTAAATGTTTCAGCATTTTGGCAGGGCGTGGTGGCTCATGCCTACAATCCCAGCACTTTGGGAGGCCAAGGCGAGTGGATCAACTGAGGTCAGGAGTTCAAGACCAGCCTGGCCAACATGGTGAAACCCCGTCTCTACTAAAAATACAAAAATTATCCGGGTGCAGTGGTGGGCACCAGTAATCCCAGCTACTCGGGAGGCTGAGGTGAGAGAATCGCTTGAACCCGGGAGGAGGAGGTTGCAGTGAGCTGAGACTGTGCCACTACAGTCTGGGCAACAAGAGTGAAACTCACTTCAAAAAAAAAAAATTCGGTATCTTCATTCAGTTTATCTTCAGCCATAACATATTTTGGGTTACATCTGTTTTCACTCATCTTGGTGCAGTTGGTCAGCTGTCTTAAACTGTAGTTCTTTCTAAAGAATCTCATTAAAACTCTCATTAATGATGGGAGATCCTCTCATTCGTGCTTGCGTGCTCCTTCCCTCCATTCTCCATTCTTTCTCAGAAGCACACATTCGACCAACAGTGGAACTTCTGGGTCTTCCATTTCTGTGAGGTGGCCTGTCAGGGTGGGACCTCTGTGGGTGGTCCTCTGGACAGGGTCCTTGCTGTGCAGGGGTGTCACATGGCACCAGGCCCTGGTGGGTCACAGAGCCCTCTGCCGTCAGCCACTCTTGCCAACTGTGTAGCTCAGCAGAGAGCCAGCTGCTCCTCCTATGGGCATATTCCAACCAGTGCCCTGCAGAGCCCACAGCCCTGCTGTCCCTGGCCAGCTAGCTCCAAGCATGGAGAAACTGCATGGCCACTCTTGCCTTTGCCTTTGCCTTTTCTAAAGCTTTAATTTATTGTCTTTCAGTTTTTCCACATATACCTTCTGACTATTAGGGATTCCACATGCTTCCATTCCCTGAAGGCCCCCTTCCTATATTTTAGGTACTAGTACAACCTTTTGAAATCAATGTTTTTTCTGTTATTCCTATGAATTTGTAGTGGGAGAGGAAGGCCTGAACCTCAAACATTTTGATTCATTATTTCATGGACAATTTCCAGATCTTCTGTGTGGTTATGCTTGCTTGAGGTTTGGGGTGAAAATGTTGAAGCAGATGTCAGCCCATGATTGAGAATTTTCTTCTGCAGATGCTTTGTCTCCATTTTTTTATTGAAAATTTAGTTTTCTCTTGCCCTTGCCTTCATTTTCTTTTCCCTTTCCTTCCTGAATCACTCTATCAGTCTGAAATCCTCAGGCTGGGCAGTGCAACATAGCTGCACCAGGGGCAAAGAGAGCCACCATGGAACAGAGCCGGGTGAGGGAGGGTCACAAGACGGGGGAGGAAGGCATTGTTCTAGGAGGGACCAGCATGAAACCCAGGCAGTGGGAGGAGGAGTCCACACGGGGGTGTAAGTCCATACCAGTTGTAGTGTCATATCAGTCAGGATGAGAAGGGCATCCTTGGTGGCATAGACCATCAGAACTTGAGCACAGTGAGGAGGATATCCACGCAGAGGGTGCCCTGACATTTTGTTTCAGCTCAGGTTGGGTGAAGGAGCATTTACCCCAGTCATCAGATCAACGTGGGGAGCCACAGCCTCAGCCACAAGAAGAGGGCAATAGACGGTGTCGTATATCAGAGATCAAGAGAAACGGGCCAGTGTCCCTGTAAGACAGGGGCCAGTGGTAGCTGTGCAGAATTAGTTGCACACAGGAAAAATCAAATAAGAAAATGTATTAAAGATCATCGGAGCTAGGGGTGTCACTCTCAGAAAGAAGAGTAGAAATATGGAAAGGAGGCCGGGCACAGTGGCTCACACCTGTAATCTCAACACTTAGAGGCCGAGGTGGGTGGATCACTTGAGGTCAGGAGTTCAAGACCAGCCCAGCCAACATGGCAAAACCCTGTCTTTACTAAAAATACAAAAATTAGCCAGTCGTTGTGGTGCACGCTTGTAATCCCAGCTCCTCGGGAGGCTGAGGCAGGAGAATTGCTTGAACCAGGGAGGCGGAGGTTGCAGTGAGCCAATATTGTGCCAATGCACTCCAGCCTGGGTGACAAAGCCAGACTCCATCTCAAAAAGAAAAGAAATAAGGAAAGGAGAAAACTAGAGTGAATTCTTAAATTTGGGGTGGGATTGGAGGTATCAGTGTGAGCTCACAGATTTCAATATAGATAGGCAGAGAAATGAACATGGATATAAATGTGCAATGCTTATGCATACACACAAACATGTATTTCCTGGCTCTGTCCACTGAGGAGGCCTGGGAGTGGGAGTACCTCAACAATGATGAACATGGCTCCATGTGCTTTGCTGGGCCACTCCAGCTGACCCCAGAATTGGCTGTTTTTTCCATGGCTACCGGTATTTAAGGCTTGTTTGTGACTCCTTTCCTTGTTTTGATGCTGATGAAGAAAAACTTTTTTAGCTTTATTGAAGTATAATTAACAAAGTTAAATGCAAAGTAGGTGTACAAACTTGATGTTTTGAAGGTGCTAGTTTTTATGGTGCTTGACGTTTACCCTGGAAGGTGGGGAATGTTAGCGCCAGTTCACAGCTCAGGACACTGGGCTCAGAGAGGGGAAATGACTTGTCTATGGCCACAGGGCAGTGAGAGGTGGAGCAGATGGAAATCAGAGCTCTATGCTCTGATACTCTGAACATAGGACAACAGGGGCAAGGAGAAAGATAGGAATCCTTCAGAGTGGGTATGAGAGACCCAGGCCCTGAACGAGACACAAGGGGCAGGACATGGCAGGACAGAGCAGGAAATACAGAGCTCATGCCCGAGAGCTAGAGCCTGAGACTTCGGGGCAGCATCTCAGAACATCTATGAGCTGAGGGACCAGCTCTCCAGGGCACAGTCATTGAAGCAGGGTTGGACGTAGGGCTGTGACTCAGTCCTCAGAATCCCCCTTCTTCAGGGAACCACAGGACAGTGACAGCAGTGTTGACAGGCAGAAGTTCAGCCTAATTTTAACCTCTTTTTTTGTTACTAATTTTTTAATTGATAATTGATAATAATTATACATAATTGTGGGGTATAATGTTATATTTCAATGCATGTATATATACTGTAATGACCAAATTGGGATATTTACCATATCCATCACTTTAAATATTTATCATTTCTTTGTAGTGACAACATTCAAAAATCTTTTTTTAAGTATCTTAAAATATACACTACATTGTTATTTGCTAAGTGGCAAACAGGAATGTGAAAAATTGTTCAACATCGCTAATCATCAGAGTAATGCAAACCTTCACCTCTTAATTGGCCCTTATCATCACCTGAGCCCCAACCCCACCCCAGCTGGCAGCATTTCACAGGAAGGGACTTTCAGAAGAGCCAGCTCTGCCTGGATTGGCCCTTGCAGAAGTTGGGCCAGTAGGGAGGGTAAGGAACACAAGACTAATGCCTGCTCAGCTCCTGCAGCTGTGATAGCCTGAGGTCTAACACTCACCAGAGGGTTGGGTTGGCAGCAAAACGCCCTCTCTCCTGCCCGCTTGCCTGTGGAACCTCCCATGCCAGCCTGGTCTGGAGGAAAATGAGTCCTAGCTTTCATATGGGGCTCGAGGGCAGGGCACAGATGGGGTTTGAGGTGAGGATGAGGACTTGAGTTATGCTAACAGCTTCCAGTTTGGGTCTCAGATTCTTAGAAGCCAAGTATAAGGACATAGCCCCCAGTGCAGCAGGGAGACGGAATCACAGGGCCTGGGGTTGGGGGGCTTCTCTCAGTCCTAGGGGCTGGGGAACAAGCCCTGAGCAACCAGACCCAGACAGGTGAATTCCTGGAGAATGTGCTACCATTGCCATGACCACCACCCACCAGGTTTCTATTATACCCAGTCCTGGGGAGGGTGTACTATGTACATAGAATGGTGTAAATATGAATGATATTCCATGGAGTTGGCCAACTGACAGGTCTGTACCCTCAACTTTCCTTCCTACGGCAGATGTTGCTAATCAATCACAGTCTCTGCTCAGTCTGGAAAAGAGGTTCAGAGTCTGTTCCACATGAGGCCTCAGACAAGCCCTGCCCATTCCTCAGAGCTGGTATATGAAATGCCAAGTATCTGCCATCCATTGCTCTGACCTCCTGAAGCTTGTCAGAGACTATCTGGAAAAGACCAGTTCATTCCTTTATTGAGAGGGGAATACACTCTGTCACAATGCAAGGCCCTGAGCCCAGCAAGATCTCCAGCTGGAGATGCAGCTGGTTGGCTGTGACTCTGTACTGGCCCTTGATGAACCCCCGGGAAGCACAGGAGCGGCACCTCCAGTAGGCCTGGATGATGCGAACAGCATTGAGCACCTGGCAATAGCGCCTGCGGATGCGCCACATGCGGGCCTGGGACTGCAGTGTGACTGCTGCCCACTCCTCCCGGGAGAAGGCCTCCAGCGCCGCCCGCCGCCTCTTCTCCAGAATCTTGGACAGTATCAGCCGCCACCAGCACTGAATGATGCAGGCGCTGAGGGCTGCGTGCAACAGTGCCCGACGCACCAGGGTGCCCCGCCACCAGGCCTGGATCTTGGTGGCTACCATATCTTTGTCAGAGAGCTTCTTTTGGTTTTCTGGGGGCTTTCAAGAAAAAAGAGGGACCTTCAGAGAATGCTCCCCACTGGCTTCAGCCCTAGGGTGTGCCAGGAAAAGCCCTGATTCCCTATCAGCAACTGTCTCTTTTTCTGGAATTCAGGAGCACTGGGCAGGACACTAGCTGGAACCAGATCAGGTAGGTGTCCTGCCTCTGCCATCCTCTGGTTGATAGCCACAAGCACATCACCTTGCCCCTGGGTCTCAGTGTCCTGCCCATCTTGGGGCACACTTGCCCTGGCTACCTCACCCAGTTTTCCACGGACCTTGTTGACCAGCAAGAACACTGTGATATAGGATCAAAGGGTTACCATGTTCCACCCAGATCTGATCCTTTCTTTCAGACCCCTTCAACCTGCTGGAGAAGTCACATCCTTTGCCAGTCCTGCCCTCTCATCCCTGACAACAGTTCATAGCCACAGCCTGTTCTCTCCCTCTGTCATGTCTGAAGACTAAACCCTGATTTTTTTTGTCTTGCCCAAATTCGTATCTAAGGGGCCTGGGGAGTCATGCCCTGCAAATCATAACTTCTCGTCAGATGGGTTTTATTTAACCCTTTACTTTCCAACCTGACCCTGGCATAACATTACCAGACAAGGAAGAAAAATATTTTATCCCAAAACATGCTTCTTTGCCATATTTTGAAATGGCCCTGCAAAGCTGTTCTTTGTGGAGGAAAATGTGCATCTGTAAAGAATCTCTATTAACATAGCTAGATCTTTTTCTTCCAGACCCTCCCAAACCTAAAGAGATTAACTAAGATCTGAATAGGAAACATTTGTTATCTATTGTCTCTAAAGGGAGATACTACAGGAGTTCTAAAGAACTTTGGTCTCCACAATCTTTTATCTTAACCTGAATGTTCCCTTTCTATGAATCTCACGTCTTTAGACAAATTCAACCAATTGTCAGTCAAAAGATGTTTAAATTCACCTATAGCCTGGAAACACTACCCTCCCCCCAGCCACCGCTATGAGTTGTCCCACCTTTCTGGACCAAACCAATGTATTTCTTAAATGTATTTGATTGATGCCTCATACCTCTCTAAAATGTACGAAACCAAGCTGTGCCGGGACCACCTTGGGCACATGTTCTCAGGACTTCCTGAGGGCTGTGTCATGGGCCATGGTCATTCACACTTGGCTTAGAATAAATCTCTTCAAATATTTTGCACAGTTCAACTCTTTTCTCTTTTTGTCAACATGTCATAGTATCAAAAGTTCCTCCACCCCAAAGTTCAAACTCTTACATCTCTTCCCCATCATCATTTTTCTTAACTTTCACATTTTAAATCTTAATTCACAAGCACACATACATGCACAAGCTCAAATACACGCACACACATACACACACACACATGCACACACACGTACTTCTAACTGAGCCCCGCTTCCATATCATGGTCATTCCATTCCACAAGCACAGCCCCCACATCCCCAGCCCCAGCCCTGTGTGGTTTGGGAGGTCATACTTTTTCTAATTTCTCATTGGCATTGTCCACTGTCTGTGTCTCAACCAGAACTGGAGTTTTAGCCTGAAAGGGAAATGGGGAAAGAGAACGGACAAGATTGAGTTTATTTCTCTTTTTAGCTCAGCACTGTTAGATATGAGTTCTAAATTTCTCTTCAAAGAATCAATCTGTCAGAACATTCAAATCTTTGCCTTCTACTTTTAAACTTAACTTCCTCATAAAGCAAGCTTTTTCGATCACCTGCTCCACCCTGACTCATTCCCATTACCTGCTCATTCTCCACCCTAACTCATTCCGATTTCCTGCTCTGCCATAACCATTTTTCCTGCCAAACCACTCACCCCATCACTCTCTTTAAATTAACCAATTGGAATTAGTTTAGCCTGTGCGGTCTAACCCTAGCCAACCGAGGAACAACCCAGCAGCAGGGGCCACGTGTGTCAGGGATAAGAACCCCTCCCCCTCCCGTGTCCAAGGGTGCGCTCACCATTGCTCCATCTGTAAGGGCGCACCCTTCTATAGAAGCACATTGCCTTGCTGAGAATTAAAAAGAAAATTTTACATTCAAGTGCTATTTCTTTTGCGGCACCGAAGCTTTACTTATAACAATCTGGGGGCTCGCCTGTGATTACATTCCACTCTGGGGGAGGTCTCTGGTTCTCTCTCATGAGGAGGTGCACCCCGCCCCCTTGCAACGGCCTCAGGGGTGAAAAATCAGGACCACCCAGTGCGAGGAATAACCCAAGCTCTCAGCAACGCGGAAAGAAACTGGCCAGCAACCTAGCTTAAAGGATCCCCACATATTGTGGCAACAACTCTGTGCACAGACCAAGAAAGGAGAAGCTGTGGGAGCCGATAAAGTACTTCCTTGGTGGTCAAATTCTGGAGGGCTAAATGTGTGTGTGTGTGAATGATCACAAACAACCCTACTTGAGGTGTTGTTCGTGTGGATGGTGACAAGTCCTACTTCTGGACGGAATGAGTGGATCCTCTCTGCAGTTCTGTAGCTACCTCTTATAGCTTAGGGTGGATCCTGCCATGGGATTTATACCAGCACGCCAACACTAAGAGGGGCCTAATTCTCCCTTGGGGAGTGGCCAGAGAGGACAACATGAGTGGGAAGTGTCCAAGGGACCTTCAGAGGGGGAAAGAGAGGAAACGGGTCAACCTTCCAGAGCAGCAAGGCAAGATGCGCCCTGATTTGAGGGGTTGAACCTTCCAGGATAGGCAAGGGGAGACATCCCTGGTTTGTGGGGTTGAGACTTCTAGGGCAGGCAAGGCGAGACATCCCTGCTTTGAGGGGTTGAGCCTTCCGCAAATTTCAGGGGGTTGAACCTCACACAAACCTCTGGTAGTAAGAAAAATATTCAGAACACCCCTTTCCTTTCTTGGGGGAAGAGAGAGTAGCTCCTCTCCCAATGGTCCCTCCCCTAGGGGAAGGGGAAGGAGAGGGGAGAACAGCAGCATAAGCGGCTGGCAGAGGCAGGGAAAGACCAGCAAAGAGGAAAGAGAAACTGGGAGAGGAAGTCAGAGAGAAAGAGACAGAGTCAGAGACAGAGAGAGAAGGAGAGAGGCAAAGAAAGAACGAGAAAGACAAAGAGGGAGTCAGAGAGAGAGACAGAGAGGCAGAGAGAGAGAGAAAGAGACAAAGAGGGAGTCAAGGAGAAAGAGAGACAGAGAGGCAAAGAAAGAGAAAGAGACAAAGAGGGACTCAAAGAGAAAGAGAGACAGAGAGGCAGAGAGAGAGAAAGAGACAGAAAGACAAAGAGGGAGTCAAAGGGAAAGAGAGAGACAGAGTCCAAGACAGAGAGAGATGGAAGTAGTAAAGAGAACATAGTGTATCCTATTCCTTTAAAAGCCAGGGTAAATTTAAAACCTATAATAAATAATTGAAGATCTTTTCCATGACCCTATAACACTCCAACACCACCTTGTTGTCAGTGTAAACAAAGGCATAGCCCGAAAACACTGAGGCCACTGACAACCCATAGCCTTTCTAATCAAAAATTCTTAATCCGGTAACCTGTGGATGGCCCAAATGCATTCAATCTGTAGCGACAACTGTTTTGCTAACAGAAGAAAGTAGAAAAACAAGTTTTAGCGGAAACCTCATTGTGAGCACACCTCAAGTCAGAACTATCCTAAGTCAAAAAAAAAAAAAAAGGCAAAAAGGTAGCTTAGTGACTCAAGAACCTTGAAGTATGAGGCTATTCTGTTAGAAAAAGATGATTTAACATTAACCACTGAAAATTCCCTTAACCCAGCAGATTTCCTAACAGGGGATCTACATCTCAATTACCATACAAAGGTCCGACCAAACCTCCAAGAAACTCCCTTCGGGACAGGACAATAGATGGTTCCTTCCGGGTGATTGAGGGAAAAAGACACAATGGGTATTCAGTAAGTGATGAGGAAACTCTTGTAGAAGCAGAGTTAGGAAAATTGCTCAAACCTGCGAGCTGTTTGCACTCAGCCAAGCTTTAAAGTACTTACAGAATCAGGAAGGAGCCATCTATATGAATTCTAAGTTAATATGGACTGAACAAGGTCTTATTAATAACAAAGAATAATTGAAATCCCAAACTTACAAGATTTTCAACAAAAGTAAAGTTTGCTAAAAATTAACAGTGTAACATGTATTATAGTAACTTCTAATCTTGTGGCCTTAGGCAGTCTAGTCCACAGACATGAAGGAAGTTCACTTTGGAAAAGAATGGTTATCATCTTCAAGAAAAAAAAAGCCGGGGGTGGGGGGAGGGAGGATTTATGTAAAAAGGAATGTTATATGATAAATTCTTGTCCTAAAATAAATTAACTGGTTGTTTAAAGAAAGGGATGTTTGCAACAAGTCAGAAAATTGAGGCATGTCGAAGAATTGTCTGTGAAAGTCATGGAAAAAAAAGGTTATAATAAGGAATTTATGCAAGAAATGTTGTATAATTTAAAAGTAATTAGGCCTCCTGAATGTAAAACTATTGAAGAAACAGTTTATGTGCAAGGTGTGTAGGTGTGTAAGGAAAGTAAAATATACCTTTGGTGAAAGGATTATAAGGAGGTATAAGAATGTGGATTTTTACCTACATTAAAAGGTTTAACATTTTTTTTGTTTTAAAGGTTTAAGCAAGTTTTGGCCGGGCGTGGTGGCTCAAGCCTGTAATCCCAGTACTTTGGGAGGCTGAGACGGGTGGATCACGAGGTCAGGAGATCGAGACCGTCCTGGCTAACACGGTGAAACCCCGTCTCTACTAAAAAATACAAAAAAAACTAGCCGGGCAAGGTGGTGGGCGCCTGTAGTCCCAGCGACTTGGGAGGCTGAGGCAGGAGAATGGCGTGAACCCGGGAGGCGGAGCTTGCAGTGAGCCGAGATCCCGCCACTGCACTCCAGCCTGGGCGACAGAGTGAGACTCCGTCTCAAAAAAAAAGGTTTAAGCAAGTTTTGAAATGTTAATTGTAAAGGAAGTTCTGCGTGTAAACATATTGGCCAAAGTTAAAGGGGTATCATCCAGTTTTTCTGTGAACTGGACTTTAAAATAAAAGCACAACAGGTTTTTCTTAAAACACTAACCTGCTGTTTGACAAAAATTATAAAAGGTTAAAAAGAGTCTATAAAATTCTTACCTTATAGTCAGACATTAAAAATTGGATAAATATGTCTACAAGGTTTTATTAAAATTAAGTTTAACATTAATAACACACTAATATAAAGGTTAAATTTAGCTTATCTGGTATAAAAGTCATATAGGAAGCATTGTCAAATATAAAATGGTGTGTGACTTTCTTTGGTCTAAAAACTAATAAAAATAGGTGCTAAAGGAAATTTCTCAGTAAGAAGTTACAAAGGACTATAAAGTCCACTGCTGATGTCCCCACATTTAAAACAAAAGGTCAATTTCTTAGAAATTATATACTTGGTTTATCTTCTATTTTCCTTTCCCTCAAAACAAAAAGTCTTTTAGCACAGGTACCACCCCTAGAATTTCTGGTAAACCAGCACCAGCCTGAGGATCATGTTCTCATCAAAGGGTGGAAAGAAGGAAAACTCATAGATATGAGTTCTAAATTTCTCTTCAAAGAATCAGTATGTCAGTATGTTCAATTCTTTGCCTTCTACTTTTAAACTTAACTTCCTTGTAAAGCAACCTTTTCCAATTACCTGCTCCACCCTGACTCATTCTGATTACCTGCTCCACCCTGACTCATTCCAATTACCTGCTCATTCTCCACCCTGACTCATTCCAATTTCCTGCTCTGCCATAACCATTTTTCCCACCAAACCACTCACCCCTTCACTCTCTTTAAATTAGCCAATCAGAATTAGTTTAGCCTGTGCGTCTAACCCTAGTCAATAGGGGAATGACACAGCAGCAGGGGCCACGTGCGTCAGGGATAAGAACACCTTCCCCTCCCTTGTCCAATTGTGTGCTCACCATTGCTCCACCTGTAAGGGTACACCCTTCTATAGAACTACATTGCCTTGCTGAGAATTAAAAAGAAAATTTTATATTTGGGTGCTATTTCTTTTGTGGCACTAAAACTTTACTTATAACAGCACCATGCAAAAGACACTAGCCACAAGCACTAGGACATAGGATCAATGACATCCAAGTCAGGGCTCCTCTTACCTCTGCCTTCGACTCTGCTTCTAAGGACAAATGGGTCAGCGTCTCCTTCTGCTGAGGCTCATCTTCTTTTGAGGGCTCCTCTGTCTTTATGGGCTGCTTCTCTTCCTGCAATCAGCATTAGGGGAAAGGCAAGAGTGAGGTTGCTGTCCCTCCGTCTCCATTCAGTATGGCATGCATCCCCAGCTTCCAGGGCTTCTCAGAGTCTTCAGTGTCAGGGGGTCCCTTCACCCTGAGAGATCAATGGGACACCCCTAACAAGTCTGGTGTGTTTGGCTCTTACCATTGGTCACATATGGATTGGTTGTAGATGGTTCAAATCCCCTCACATCTGTGTTCATCCAGCCATGGCATAGGCAGGAAGGGTGGAGGAAAAAAGGCCTGTGATGTCATAATGGCACCTGTGACTCAGGCACCAGATGGTTCCTAACAAGTGAGCCCCCTCCAAGGGAAAGATAAAAGCGCTGCCCATTCTTTTCTGCCAGAAATGGACAAAGCCCTGACTTCAAAGGCAAGATGCCAGAAATCCTGGCCCATTGCTGTAAAGGTTTATAAAAAGCCAGTCATTGGTAATAATATTTAATTGAAAAAACTTGGCCAGGCACGGTGGCTCAGGCCTGTAATCCCAGCACTTTGGGAGGCCAAGGCAGGCAGATCAACTGAGGTCAGGAGTTCAAGATCAGCCTGGCCAACATGGTGAAACCTTGTCTCCACTAAAAATACAAAAATTAGCTGGGTGTGTTGGCTGTCACCTGTAATCCCAGCTACTCAGGAGGCTGAGACAGGAGAATTGCTTGAACCCAGGAAGTGCGGTTTGCAGTGAGCCAGGATCATGCCACTGCACTCTAGGCTGGGCAAGAGAGCAAGACTCCATCTCAAAAAAAGAAAAAACTTAAATAGCCCACTTTAATAATCAATAGGGGATTAACTTAATGGTGCATAGTTCATTCATACTATAAAATACTACATAACTATTAAAAATAATGAATTTGATCTATATTACTAATGAGGAAATACATAAAGATGTATTTATAAGTAAAAAAACTAAAGTTCCTTTTGATCCCACTATGTAAACAAAACTAGGAACATAATTCTACACATAAAATTGAATAATTTATGCCAGAAGTTATTATATGATACACATTTTATGTTGTAAATTAATATAAAGAAGAAAAAAGGTATATATACCAAACTATTACCAATGATTACCTCTGGAGAGGAGAGTTAAATTGCTGACTCATGCTTAACACAGTCCCCAAGGAACCCCATGAGGGTCGAGGACCAGCCTGGACTCCATCTGAGGTTCAAATGGGTTCAAGTGCTCTCCTGTCTTCCTGTCCCTGGGGTCTCAAGGCCACAGTCAGATAGATGAGGGGGGCCACTGCACAAGCATGGCCCCTTTCTGCCTGATCTCAGCCTCTGAAGACCCAGCTGGACAGGGTAAATCCCTGAGAGGCACAGCCCCTGGGATCACTGAGGAGTGCACTTGAAATATAGGGTGAGTATGGGAGAGGCCAATGTGGATATGTAGGGGGAATGTAGGGAAGAGGAGGAGGCCATTTGAGGCTGGGATGTGAAGTTAATGGGATGAGTGGGTGGGGAACATGGGAATACATTGAAAGATATGGGAAGTTGTGGGTGTGATATGGTTTGGCTCTGTGTCCCCACCCAAATCTCATCTTGAATTGTAACTCCCACAGTTCCCGTGTGTTTGGGAGGAACCCAGTGGGAGGTGACTGAATTGTGAGGGTGGGTCTTTCCTGCACGGTTCTCATGATAGTGAATGAGTCTAATGAGATCTGATGGTTTTAAAAATGGGAGTTTGGGCTGGGTGCAGCAGCTTATGCCTGTAATCCTAGCACTTTGGGAGGCCGAGGCAGGAGGATCATGGGTCAGGAGATCAAGACCATCCTCACTACCATGGTGAAACCCCGTCTCTACTAAAAATACAAAAAATTAGCTGGGTGTGGTGGTGGGTGCCTGTAGTTCCAGCTACTGGGGAGGCTGAGGCAGGAGAATGGCATGAACCTAGGAGGCATGGCTTGCAGTGAGCCGAGATCGCACCCCTGCCCTCCAGCCTGGGTGACAGAGCAAGACTCCATCTCAAAAAAAAAAAAGGGAGTTTGCCTGCACAAGCTCTCTCTTTGCCTGCTACCATCCATGTAAGACGTGATTTGCTCCTCCTTGCCTTCCACCATGATTGTGAGGCCTCCTCAGTCATGTGGAACTGTAAGTCCAATTAAACCTCTTTCTTTTGTAAATTGCCCAGTCTTTGGTATGTCTTTTCAGCAGTTGAAAATGGACTAATATAGTAAATTGGTACCATTAGGGTGAGGTGTTGCTGAAAAAATACCCAAAAATGTGGAAGCAACTTTGGAACTAGGTAACAGGCAGAGCTTGGAACAGTTTGGAGAGCTCAGAAGAAGACAGTAAAATGTGGGAAAGTTTGGAACTTCCTAGAGACTTGTTGAATGGCTTTTAAAAAAGCCTGATAGTGACATGGACAATAAGGTCCTGGCTGAGGTGGTCTCAGATGGAGACGAGCAGCTTTTTGGGAACTGGACCAAAGGTGACTCTTATGTCGCCAAAAAGAGACTGGCAACATTTTGCCCCTGCCCTAGAGATTTGTGGAACTTTGAACTTGAGAGAGGTGATTTAGAGCATCTGGCAAAATAAATTTCTAAGCAGTAAAGCATTCAAGATGTGACTTGGGTGTTGTTAAGAGCATTCAGTTTTATAAGGGAAACAGAGCATAAAAGTTCAAAAAATTTTCAGCCTGACAATGTGATAGAAAAGAAAACCCCATTTTCTAAGGAGAAATTCAAGCCTACTTCAGACATTTGCATAAATAATGAGGAGCCGAATGTTAATCCCCAAGACAATGGTGAATATGTCTCCAGGGCATGTCAGAGGCCTTCACAGCAGCCCCCCATCACAAGCCCAGAGGCCCAGGAAGAAATGGTTTCAGTGCTGTGGGCAGCCTAGGGACTTGGTGCCCTGTGTCCCGGCCACTCCAGCCATGGCTGAAAGCGGCCAATGTACAACTCAGGCTGTGACTTCAGAGGGTGCAAGCCCCAAGCCTTGGCAGTTTCCACATGGTGTTGAGCCTCTGAGTGTGCAGAAGTCAAGAATTGGAGTTTGGGAACTTCTGCCTAAATTTCAGAGGATGTATGGAAATGCCTGGATGCCCAGGCAGAAGTTTGCTAGAGGGACTGGGCTCTCATGGAGAACCTCTGCTAGGGCAGTGTGGAAGGGAAATGTAAGGACAGAGCCCCCACACAGAGTCCCTATTGGGGCACCACCTAGTGGAGCTGTGAGAAGAGGGCTATTGTCCTTCAGACCCTGGAAAGGTAGATCCAGCTTGCACTGTTTGCCTGGAAAAGCCACAGACACTGAATGCCAGCCCGTGAAAGCAGCTGGGAGGGAGGTTGTACCCTGCAAAGCCACATGGGTGGAGCTGCCCAAAACCATGGGAACCTACCTCTTGCATCAGCATGACCTGGATATCAGACATGGAGTCAAAGTAGATCATTTTGGAGCTTTAAGATTTGACTGCCCCACTAGATTTCAGACTTGCATAGGGCCTGTAGCCCCTTTGTTTTGGCCGATTTCTCCCATTTAGAATGGCTGTATTTACCCAATGCCTGTACCCTCATTATATCTAGGAAGTAATTAACTTGCTTTTGATTTTACAGGCTCATAGGCAGAAGGGACTTGCCTTGTCTCAGATGAGGCTTTGGACTGTGGACTTTTGAGTTAATGCTGAAATGAGTTGAGACTTGGGGGTACTGTTGGGAAGGCACGATTGGTTTTGAAATGTGAGAGCATGAGATTTGGGAAGGGCCAGGAGTGGAATGATATGGTTTGGCCCTGTGTCCCCACCCAAATCTCATCTGGAATTATATATAACTCCCACAGTTCCCACGTGTCGTGGGAGGAACCTGGTGGGAGGTTATTGAATTAGGGGGCAGATCTTTCCTGCGCTTTTCTTGTGATAGTGAATGAGTCTCCCGAAATCTGATGGTTTTAAAAAATGGGAGTTTGGGCTGGGCGTGGTGGCTTACACCTATAATCCCAGCACTTTGGGAGGCCAAGGTGGGTGGATCACCTGAGGTCAGGAGTTGGAGACCAGCCTGGCTAACATGGTGAAACTCTATTTCTATCAAAAATACAAAAAATTAACTGGGCATGGTGGCTCGTGCCTGTAATCCCACTACTCAGGAGGCTGAGACAGGAGAATCGCTTGAACCTGGGAGGTAGAGGTTTACAGTGAGCTGAGATCACACCATTGCACTCCAGCTTGGGCAACAAGAGTAAAATTCTATCTCAAAAAAAAAAAAACAATGGGGGTTTGCCTACACAAGCTCTCTTTGCCTGCTGCTATTCATGTAAGACATGACTTGCTCCTCCTTGCCTTCCGCCAGGATTGTGAGGCTTCCCCAGCCACGTGGAACTGTAAGTCCAATTAAACCTCTTTCTTTTGTAAATCACCCAGTCTTGGGTATGTCTTTATCAGCAGCCTGAAAATGGACTAATAGAGGGTGTGACAGAGAAGGTGTGATACGTGTTCATTTGAGAAGGATAACAGGATACAGGCCTTTGTTGTAACACTAGTTAGTATTTTACTTCCCCCAACTCCCAACACTCTCCACACCTCCCCTCCGACACACACACACACACTCATGAAAGCCTTGTGCTTCATCATCTGGAAGAATAAACCCCAAACTCCTCACAACCTAAGTAGTGGGCATCAGCTTTTTGAGAGAGAAGAAGACAGAGAAGGCCAAGTGCAGTGGCTCACACCTGTAATCCCAGCACTTTGGGAGGCCAAGGCAGATGGATCACTTGCACCCAGGAGTTTGAGACCAGTCGGGGCAATATAACAAAACGCTGTATCTACAAAATATACAAAACTCAGCCAGGCGTGGTGGTGTGCATCTGTAGTCCCAGCTACTTGGGAGACAGAGGTGGCAAAATCACCTGAGCCCAGGGAGGTCGAGGCTGCAGTGAGCCATGATCGCACCATTGCACTCCAACCTGGGTGACAGAGCAAGACCCAGTCTTAAAAAAAAAAAAAAAAGATAGAAAAATTAAATCAAAAATCTAAT